TATGGAAATGTTCTGTGTAGTTTTTCCCCAAAACAGCACCCCCTGATGGTCAGAGTGAGATGACTCTGTGTGGATGGGAGTTCCAGTCGCCCCTGCGACCCGCCATCACGGCCAGAACCCATGAGGTGAAGCTGGGAGAAACCGCATGTGTGGTCCAGCCTCACAAAAGCAACAGCACACAGTAAGTATTACTGATTTCATGCAGGGTTATTAGTTGACTAAAACTAAATCTGAAACTAAAAGAAAAAGAAAAATTGTAACTTGACATAAAATACTACTTGCCCAAGAAACAGTTCTCATTTTAATTTAGTTTAAACTTGATGTACTAAAATAATTAAAGCTAAAACTTACAGTACTAAGAAATATACACATACTTTATTCAGCAAGGATGCATTAAATTGATCAAAAGTAAAAGTAATAAACAATTGTTTTAAATAATTGTTCTTTTGGACTTTATATTAATAAAACAATCATGCATAATAGATGCATAACAGATTTTGAACACGTTTTGGTTACGTTTTATATGTTTTTTCAAAGGAAACTGTTTATTTTAAGTCTGGACATTTTTATGCTCAGCTTGTTGTGTAAGATCCGTTCTGGGGCAACAGAGCCACTTTTTAAAACCGTGAACATCACAGCTAAGGTGCATGAGGGCCGAGTGGAGGGACGATATTCCATTGAAGGAAGTGCAGAGATGCCTGAATTCACCTTTGTGGTAATTAATTTATTCGTTACACAAACAAAACATCAAACAAAAATCCTCCATCTGATTTTTAACAATAGTCATTAGTAAGCTTGTTGATACTAGATAACCTTTGCCTAACATATTTTTTTTACACCAGGTTCCAAACATCACTGAGGTCCAGCCTGACTATGGGCCTGTGAACGGAGGAACCCTCATCACTATCACAGGTCCTTATCTGGACTCTGGGAAGAACAGGAAAGTTACACTTGATGGAGAAACATGTCCAATCCAAAGGTGTGTGTGTGTATTCATTATATCAAATGGGGGGCCTGTGATGGAACTGCAGAGGTATTGCTAATTGAATTAAAATTAGGTACACTGTTGCTTAAAAGTTTGGGGTTGGTTAGATTGTTTATGTTTTTGAAAGAAGTCTCTTATGCTCACCCAGGCTTCATTTATTTGGGGGAAAATACATTTAAAAAATGTATGAAGTGACCCCTGTTTAAATTTTCAACTCTGTCTATTAATGTTCTCTGTTTAAGATTATATGTAGTGTTCGTGTTCTAACGGGAATGTTGTTCCACCTACAGTGTATCTGTGGTAAGAGGAAACCTGTCCTCCATCATATGTCTCTCTCAGCCTGTGACGGAGGTGAAAGATGTGGTGCTCCGTGTCTACATCGATAAGTCCCGTGTGGTGACCACTAAAGTCTTCCGCTACAAGAAGACCCCTGAGATTCTTGCTGTGCTGCCTGATTGCAGCTTTGACAGGTAGATTCAGAAAGTCATAAGTTGTTTACTTTTTGGCAGTTCAGAATACCTTTTAGAAAAGGTATAGAATGTCTAATATTTTATTTTTCTAAATTGCAGTGGGTCAAGAATCATCATTGAAGGCCGAAATCTGGACTCTGTCTACAGAACTGTCGTCTACTTTAAACCCAAAGAAAGCCACCTTAAACCTGTTTCCACTGTATGAACTGTAAACTTTAATTCCCATATTGATCTATTGCCTTGGTTTTTTTTTTTATATATATATTTTTTTTCGCTTAATATTTTAAAATAAAAGTTCTTTGTAACACTCTTTAAGTTTCAGAACTTCCAGAGTGCAAATCTATTTATTGAAAATAAAGTTAGATGAAAAAATGTTTTGTTTTAAAATCCTCCAGAACATTAACAGAAATTTAGCCCAACCCATGGTAATGTAATAAGAAGGTAGCAGGATAGACAATATTCACATTTGTGCAGCTTCTGGCTGTGTAGCACCTACAGCTCTGCAGATGCTACATTATCTAAATATTAGAAGAGTGGCTTTTACATTTCAGTCTGATCTCAGTTTGAGCGGCATGTTTTCAAAGCATTGTACCTTATTTTTTTTGTGTTTAAGGTCATATATTTAGTGTTGGGTGACTCTGTCTACTCTCTTTAATGACCACAACAACACTACATAGGTTTTTATAACTTCACAACAGACTTGTCTCAGTTCTTCCACTGAGAGCTGTGATCATGAATTAAAGATTAAAGTGTTTTAAATCTATACCTTAGTAGTACAACTTTAGCATTTGCCAGTTTCTGGATCAAAGCAAACAGATATAGATTTGTGAGCACATGACATTTTTCTTCTTTCACATTTGCTTCATACTGTTGTTCCCTGAAGGAGTGCAGAGGGAAAGCAATACCCACCCATATGGAGTGCATCACCCCCGTCTTCCATCGAGATGAGACAGAAGAGGGCGAGCTCTCGTTTGACATGGACGGAGTGCTCGGTCTGTGGAAACGAGACTTCTCCTACCACCCCTATGGCAGACCCATCCCATTTGAGACTGAAGGTCACATACTGAGACTCTACCCCGGGTTTGATGAAGTGTCCTTGCATGTATGTAGATACATCCATGAGTACAATCCCATTGTTGCATTGCTGCACTTTTTCACTTTTAATCATCTTTCTGAGAAAACATTTACAATCTAAGATTCAAAATCTTTCTTCCTCATGACGCAGCACCAGAAGTTGAACCTTGTGAGCTCCTGCATGTCAATCACGATGACGGTTGGAGATGTTGACTGTGGTGCTAAAGTTTTAGATAATGAGATCACATGCAGGATCCCTAATAATCTCACCATTCCCAGGGAGGGTTTACCTGTGAAGGTGAGTGTGTGTAAATCTATAAATGCAGTAAAACACCTCGTCTTTAGCCAAAGCAAATTAGTTGCATAATACAACCTCACACACTGATGTCTGTATTTTCCTGTACCAGGTAACAGTTAATGGATACACACATAATGTTGGCACCGTAATCTTGGTCAGTAACCACTATATGGTGGGTATTGTGCTTGGCATACTGGCAGCTCTGGTCACGGGTGCGGTTATGGCCTTTATCGTGCTGAAACACCTGAGGAAACAGAAAAAAGGTGAGCACAAATTATGCCACGTCCTACTAATGCAAATCTTGTGCAGTCATTCCTAAATTTCATATCTTACCAAGCACAGCTGTTATGAAAAAAGGCCGTTTTATTCAGTTTTATCCTTCTTTACCCACAGCTTCGCTGGCAGAAAATCGCCTGTCTTACTTTTCCCATAGTCGTTCACGTAATAATAGTGTGGATTTATGTCCCTTAGGA